GTACAGATACTTGTTCAGATTTAATTAAATGACATTTCACCATGTCATCAAAAACACTCTAAGCATACTTTTTAGCAGACACGTAATATTTGCAAAGGAGGTTGTGCAGTGCAGTGCTTTGCTTAGATCTGGGAAAAGTGTGGAGATGAGAATGGACTGGGGCAGAACAGAGGTGACAGCACAGTGAAGAAGCCGTGGTAGCAACTAACCCAGGTGAGAGTTGATGGGAACATGACCTGGGCAGGAGCAATGGGACAGAGATGAAGGCATGAGAGAAGAAGTCTGGCACACACTGGTGTCTATAAATGCTTGTAAAATATAATAATACTCCATCACGTGTATTTATGTTCACAGCTACCAAGCGCTGACCTTTGCACGATCTCATGTGGTAAAACATACGCTCTCTTTGTTCTTTTGCCTCATTCAATGGTGATTGCTGTTGGCAGAAATACAGCTTTATGAGAATTTTCACAAAGGTGCAGACTGTCCATTTTAAGATGGAGGGGACAATATTATGCTGGATGAAGGAATGCTGCAGTCATTAACGGAGCTTCCAGAGCAGTACAATTACAGCACATACACCAAGTTCATTAATGACTATGTCATCCATCACATCATGTCTTGATCCATGGGTGGCACTTATGAATATATCCTGGTGCTTGACAAAGAAAAAATGGAATCACTTGGTAAGTAGAGCAGAAGCTTTTACGTGCACATGATCAGAACACACACCGGGGCATGGCTGGCAAGTTTCTAAGAGCTGACTATGAGCCATGGGTGATTTCATTTAGTTTACACAACAACTCTATAAGTAATACTTAATAGCATATGTATTACTGTTTCCAGGGACTGAGATCTAGATGGGTGAAGTGACTTGCCAAAAAGTACCACAAATGAAATTTGAACTCAGGCTTGTCTACCCACCTCTCTGCCCCCACCAAAAACACAAACCAAAAAATCCCCAAAAAGAACCCAAACAACAACAACAAAAACCCCCCAACTATATGTTTTCTATTAGATCACAGTTATCTCCTTAAAAATAAAGAACTTTGGGGATTTTGTTATTTAAAATGTGAAAACTTGTTGATTCTTGGTTAATGGAACTACCACACAGGCAGTCAGTGAAGCTAAAAACCTGGAGTCCTCCCAGACCCCTCCTGCTCCTTCATTGCTGTAGATCTCAAAGTCCCTTCAGTTCTCTCTGTCCATCTGCTCTTCTCCATCTCCACTCCTGCAGGGATAGGGGGGCTCTTGTCTTTCACTTAGCACTTCACTGGCTTCCAAATGGTCTCTGGGGGAGGCGCCCCCCTTCCAATTCTTTCTTGACAATTGCTACCAGGCAGATCTTTCTATTTCAAAGATCTGATAACATCACTTCCTTGCTTCATATCCTAAATGGCTAAGAATAAAGTCTAAACTACTTAGCACGGCATCAACAACTCTAACCCACTACAACAGTGGTTCTCAAAGCCTGGACCCCAACAGGCAGCAGAGCATCACCTGGGAACTTGCTAGAAATGTAAATTCTCAGGCCTCCGTGCCAAACGTATGTAAATCAAAAACTCTGGGTGTGGGCCCAGCAGTCTGTGTTTAAACAAGCCCTCCAGATGATTCTGATGCTCACTCACTACAGTTTGAGAACCACTAAGTCAATGAGTGAGTGAAAGGATGAGATATTTATCCATATTGCAAAGCCCGCTCAAATTCCCGATTCCAAGAAGTTTCCCTGAGTGTACCAGCCCCAGCTGGCCACTCCTTTTCTTCTACAATTCATGTAAATTACACACTCTTTAGTCTTTGAAAAGCAATTTTTCAAATTTTAATATTTTCTCCTCATTTAGATAGCAAGATCTTTGAAAGCAAGTATTATATTTGACACTTTTCTGTCTCTTTAGCTCTCAACACAGGGCTTAACACATAGTGAGTGTGCAAAACAAGACAGAGAGTTTAAGAGGGGGCATTAATTCATATTTCAGGCTAGGATCATTCATTAATTCATCATCTATTTTTTTTTAATAATCCACATTGCTCTATAGAGGATCCATTATATGTTTGTTCTAGGAATACAATGGTGAGCAAATCTAAATATAGTTCCAACCCTCTTGCAGCACAGTATTTTTCAAACTGCAGGTTGCAGTCCAATAATAGGCCTCAAAATCAATGTATAGATCACAAACAAATTTTGGAAAACAACAACAACAAAAGGATAGAATAGAAAATCTCGTAGTGAATTGTAGGCACTGAAGGTAAGTTACTGCTTCAAGAAACTTTTTCCAGTTAAATAAAGACATGTATACATGTACTGGATCATAATTCAAAATAAATAGCTGACTATGGATCAATGTAAAAAGAGTTTGAAAAACTTTATTTAAGTGGGAATCATTCAAAAACATTAGGAAGGAAAAATAATTAACATTTATTGAATACCTGTTAGGTTTCAGGTGCTACTGCAAATATTTTCATCTCATCTTCTTGACAACACTTGGAAATTGATGGTACCCCAGTTTTAGCTACATAAACATGTGGCTCATCAGGGAGGTTAATTGCTTCCCCCAGGGCTGCAGGAATCTGGGGTCAGAGCCCTGGACCAGTGGTCTTCCACCGTGAAGTTGTTGTATAGCCTTTCATTTGGGTTCCTAGTCTTTGGTGTTGGATTAGTAATTAATTGCCTGGGGTATCTGGTAGCCCCTCCTTTAAAATCTGTGGGGCAGAAATGGGCTTCCAATGTGGTTAATATTCAGAAGGAACCCACCGACAAATTGTGCCAGGGATAATTACCTCAGTTCTGTTTATAGAAAACCATATGTCGATAATAGCACAGTTTGCTATTTGTGAAGAGCTGATTTTCTATAAATCTGGAAAGTTAGCATTGTTTTTCTATAAATATGGAAATGTGCTAATCATCACCTCATCTGCTGGAGACTGGTAATAAATCAGAATGTCATTTACATATTAACCTACAAAGAACAAAAACATCTACCTTCTATCCCTTTGACAAATAGAATCATGCACGCCCTCTCTCCATGTTTGATGTTTGACTAGATTTTTCTGTTTCTTTCTCATCTTCTCTCTCTCTCTCTCATTCTTTCTTGGTATCTTCTCTCTCTCCTTCTCCTCCCCCCCCCACATCTGCTATCCT